ATATGCCATGGTTATATAATGAGCGATGTCCTTTTGTAGTATTCATTGAGAAACTGGGTAAGTAATAGTTACCGTACGAGGAATAGGTCTGCATAGTATTTACAGACCCGGGTGGCGATTTGAAGACCGAGAGAGCGTAGCGATCGAGGTTTTTAAAAGGCCACCGGGTCTGTAAATACTATGCAGACCTATTCCGAGTGCGGTAACTATCTTACCTACATGCTCTTTTGTTTTTCTATCCAAACATCAGTTTATAACTCAATATTTATCAATATAAATCACAAGAAACCTTTCATTTATGTACTTTATCATGTATAAGAATGCATTCCGAAGCCATTCAAATATACCAACCGCTACGCTCTTGTAATTCATTAGTGCACAAATCAGGTGTTATTTGAATTTTCTCGTTTTTTTTCGTGGGATTTCATTATGTAATAAGGTCAGGTAAATGTACCTGATGAGAGTTTCAAGTCATTGATATAAAGAGGGTAAAGGTAAGATTATTATTTTGTAAAATGTATATATAATATAATAATAATAATATACAAAATATATTTACATAGAATACTTTATCTTGATATATAATGAATTCCATGGTAAATATATGATCCGCCTATTTTAGATATAAAATTTACGATTATGTTCAAAGGAAAGTAAGTGACAGGCTTTTGTGGATATAAATAAATACTAATAATACATGAAGTTAAACTGTCTTGTAAGTTTGTTTGTTAAGGTTTTTTTTTTTGTTATTATTTTTTCATGTAGGCGTTTTATAGATGGCGGATTTTAAATATGCTTAGTATTTCTTCATGTTCGGAAGAATTTTCTTTCGGTGTATTCTCTATAAGAATCACGCCCTCCCCCCTTCTTCATATGTTTGATAATATCGTTTATATCCCATAATGCAGAATTGTTTAAATAACGCAGGATTGTGCAACAAAATCTGACAGAATTGTGGAAATAAATGCCGAAAACTAGTATTATATGAAGCTAAATTGTTCGGTAAAATGTGTTTATACCGAAAAGTAAACTATAAAGAAGGTCTTTATGCGCGTTATATCGGCAAAACACAAACTTATACTCAAGAACGGTAGTCAGGTCGGTTTTCTTAAAGCAAAACTATCACATAAGAGCTAGAATATGATGTCCTACCAGCCGTATGCGCTGATTCATTTCTTTTAATTTGATGAACATGTACTTAAATTTTTATATATCGGTCCTATTCCCCCACCCATATTTGCACAATTCAGAGTTATTTTTTGCATAATTCCTGCATTATTTCAACATTTCAGTGTCATTGGATATACGTATACGGGGAATATTATGTAATGCTTAATCTTAAATGCACGAGTTTCACATATTTTCTTTTGTATAGAGAACAATAGAACAATAACAGGTCGGTAAGTGATTTACTAGACCGCTTTTAACAAAGGAGCCGGTAGGTAATATATGATTTAAGTACATAGATGTCAAATGTACAATAGTGATGAGTGAGTAAAGTTTACAGTACTTACAACATAGATAGCCTTGGATTCTGGCGATGATTTTGCTTGTTCATAACACAGATTTTGCTTATTCATCATACTCGCTGATTCGTATTCGCTTATTTTTGATAGAATCGATTTGCAAGACAGAGGCACATAAAAATAACGACAGACTCATGGAACCAAGGCTACTTATAAAAGTGATAAGTGAATAATGCTCACATTGTTTTTAATGTAGTGTTCAGTGATTGAATGGAGTCACAAAATAATATTTCAATCATATCTTGAGAACATGTTACCTGAAATTAAGTGCATTTAATTTATTTTAATATACATTTTGTATTTATCTTTTTTAGTAAATATCTTATTTTCATGTACATGTATGTTTTAATTTTAAATCAGTGATAATTGATCAATTCTTTTATACTGCACCATTGATTATATCTATAATGTCACACCCAAATTGAATGAAGCAATTTCAGTTGCTTTAATTTTTTAAAACCGTGGTCTAAAGTTTAAGGTAAACTGTTTTTTTGTTAAGCGATTAATAATAGGTGCAATAAAACATGTACATGGTTCTATAAAATCTCGTCGTTTAATATTATTATATAAAAAAATTAAGACGATTAATGAGTCGGTATATAACAGGCCTTTACAATCATTCGGACATTTCCGTGGTAAAATTTATCAATGACGCCCGCGTTGGTCTTATTTCAGGTTTTTTTTCAACCACTTGGTAATCGTATACATTGCATTTGAGCCGCGTCACGACAAAACCAACATAGTGGGTTTGCGACAATCATGGATCCAGACCAGCCTGCGCATCCGCGCAGTCTGATCAGGATCCATGCTGTTCGCTTATAAACCCTATAACAAGTAAAAGAAAACTGATAGGCGAACAGCATGTATCCTGATCAGACTGCGCGGACGCGCAGGGCTGGTCTGGATCAATGCTGGTCGCAAACCCATTATGTTGGTTTTGTCGTGACACGGCCTCACTTGTATGTTGCAAGCGTTTATTTCAACCGCATCTCCGGACTTTTTCGGCAAATTTCGGATTACGATTAATCGGAAATAATTCCGACTGTAGATTTATAGGTCCACCCCCTCTGATAATACTATAATCCCTAAAACCGATTAAAAAAGACAGATTAATCATTTGGGCATTTATAAACATTCCATTTAAACGATCAATTATATGGTTTTAAAAAAGGAGAGAAATTTTATTTACAGACACAAGCTCACCAAAATTTAACATTTAAAACAAAGTGGGATATATTTTTGATATTTTTAAAATGGACGTCAAAATTTTTGCTGGACTTTTAATAACAATTTTCGCATCAGCCTGTTTAGGTATGTTTGTTGCTGTTGTTTTCGATGTATAAATGTTATCGTTGATTTGCAAAGTTTCATTTCCTTCGGAGTTAACTTATTTAGACTGACGAAACAATACTGTTTTCATGCCAATCAATTCACTGTAACTATATTTTTGACAGTTAAAACAACCACGAGTACAGAAAAACACATTTTCACGCAAAAATATCGTTATATTTCATTTGGTCAGAAATTTATTCTACAAATTGAAGTAATATTCTTTTGTTGTTTTTACATTCCTGTTGTATTTATGTAATAACATCTTATTTATTTGCAATTTAGACTACATATTTTACAGAAACTAAACCTCTAATTTTAATTGAAAATGTTCAGTTAATACTGAAATAGTTTTGAAAATACTCATTACCATTTACCACGCAAAATATTTGAAATGGGATAATCCATCTTTCAATCTAGACGAAACCATTTATTATTTTTAGGTATATTCTCAAAATAAATACTAAGTGAATAGTGAACAGTACACATCATTATCAGACGGTATCTACATCTAATATCAAAAAAGAGAATTCAAATATACCTATACAGTCATATATATCTATAATGATTTTGCCGTCCATATTGTTATTGATCAGAATATTACTCAGTGTTGATAACAGTTTAACCAGATTTTCTCTCCACCTAGAGTGTTTTACACCAACGGTTTGGTTTTATTTTGTGGTAGTTGTCCTCTTACAAATATTGCATTTCGTTCATCATTATGACTTTATATGTATGCAAATTTTATTTATTAGTATACATTATGAATAATTTATATCATGCCATTAATGTTATGTAACTGCTGAGTATACTGATGGGCATACTGCCTTTGTAAAGTTTATCTATCTATATAATGCTTTTGCTCCTGTATTTTCATATATGCAAAGTGAGCTGTTAATAAAACGCTTAAAGATCACAAATTTATGGGGGAAAAATATACAAATTTTGCAACTTCTCATGCATAATGGATGATTTTGATTTCAGACAAACCTATTTATAACTTTTTGATATAAATTTAAGATTTAATCCATTCTTTATCTTTATCTTTATTTTTCTTTTTATAATTATTCCTTCATTTAATTTAGCTGAGCCTTCTTATTGTGTATTATGGGACAAACAATTTACATAATCGTCGATTTGGTCAGAATCAACCAAAATTCTTGTTCATATGTTATACTGATGACAATAAGTGGCAAAAATTGCCGAATGGATACAAAATCCCTATGACTATTGTCTTAATATTTTGAAACTATTTAAAATTTGTTTCATTATTTTTCAGTATCGGCAGAACAAGGTGACGCATGTACGGATGTCGGCTTGCTCGGGTACCCGTGCATTACCCTGGAAGAGTCTCATAAAATAACGTATGCCGGCCAGTCATTATGTGACATTAATAAACCTCTGGCTGATTTGTGTTGTGCCTTTTGTAAAAATAGAAAGCCTTAAAGATTTTTAGTTTTTATAAATACAATGTTTAGGTAATTGATAATCACATGCTCATTTTTGTTGTTGATTTTGTATGCATTATTCCGTTTGTTTTTTCTTCAATGTTAGTTTTAAACAATCTATAGAAAGTGTATGACGTCATGATAGTTTTGAATGTAGATGGGTTTTTGCCTTGAATGGATCTATTAAATATTGAGATAAGTCATATCATGTCCACTGTAAAGGATAAACTGTTAACATAAAACGTTATGAACGGTATATATAATGATTGTATCTGTTTTAGAAACTGGTTTGAATGACTTTGTAATTGTAAGTTGTGTATAATAAACTGCTCGCTGTTACTTTTTCTACAGTTATTCTATTTTAGCTTCATACATGTAGATCGTTGAAACATATGGTTTCTTTTTGAACTAAATAAGCTATGGAAAACCTTGACCGTTGTTTTAATTAATTATAGCATAATACGAGGTAAAATATTTTATTCAGTACTATACCATACTGTTTCCTAACATGGATGACAGCATACAAAGTATGTAACTATTATTTGACATTTTTAATAGTGCAGATTAAAAATGTAACTATTGAGGAGCTTGTTTCCTAGATTTTCAAATATCTAATGAATAAAAGACCTCTCAAAATATTACATCAATTCATTGTATTGACAATGTAATAGCAAGTAAAAACGCATCATCCGAAACGATTATGATTTGATGTTTTATTTTTATTAAGTGAACAAATAATAACTATATAACGAAGTGTGTAGTGTTCGTAGAACAAAATAACATTTTATATAAATAAAAAACTGTAGTCTTTAACCACAGCACGTAATTAAAGCGCCGGATGACAGCAAATTCTTGTAGATGGTTGTTTTGAATTCAGACGGATTAGTTACGGCTTCAAACGGACATTAGCGATAATCATGAACTGTAGAATGCACGGATATTGGCAGTTAAAGACTAAATGCTAACAAATTTAACATCACTGTAAAATAATTGGAAATGTACATAATGAAGAACATTAAACACTGCCGTAACCTTTTCTCCTCGTTATCTTGCCAAATGTAAACATTGCACCATCCTGTAAAAACAACAAACAACATATTGTTAGAAATGAAAACTATATATTTTTGAATTCTTAATTAAAATATAGATCAATGGAGAAACATGTTTTCAACCAAAGTCAGTCAATTTTGAGACTTGATGGTATTTTTCATCGTATATATATGTGTAAATATTGTTTGAAAACCAGTTTTATCGTTTTAATAGATGCTCCATCCGTGTTTAGATATTAAAATATTTTTGATAGTGTTTACAAGGGCAGGAACTGACCCCCAAGCGTCTTTGTTCGTCTCTGCCTACTTTTTAGGGCCACATGCCTTGACTTAAGTCATGACAGCGTCAACTGGCTCGAGGGTAAGTTTTGATTTTAGTTTTTGCCGTCCCTGGTTCTTAAACCCTATACCTCTCCAAGACATGCATGTCATTTTAAGATATTTATATTTTGGCACATGGGACAGTGGCGAAGTTGACCGAATATATACGACGTCAATATTTATACCAAATCAATACTCCGCAATATTTTTATGTATGTACTTTTTTATCATTATATTATTATTATTAATATTGAACTTGAATAAATAGCGAATAACTAAACGATACGTTTACCTTTATAAGGCCTGGCAGGGAGCTCCAGAACGTCACGTTTGGAACAAGTTCCTTACCCGTGTTCTGGCGTTTAACTTTGTTAAACGCAATACCAGCTATTAGATAAACAACCAGCAAAGCAAAAAATCTGAAAAATAAAAAACAAATTAATTTAAGATGAATTGCATTTAATTATTTTGGATGTTAAAAAAAGCCAATACAGAAATAAATTTCTTCTGGATTGAACAACGTTTTTAACGTGCAATATGTAAAGGACCACTATATGGGATCTTTGTTTAAAGAAAGTATGTGATTATAGTTCGCTTAGCTAAGGACCAATTTGCGATCATTAGTTTTGAAGACAGATTAAGTAGCGTAAGGAAAACGCCTCTTATACAAAGCCGTTCTCTATGAGGTAATGAAGAAACTATTTCTAGAGGCGTTCAGAGTTTTTTTACAAACTACTTTTACTGTGATATTTTTTTCTTTCACCACAAGAACGTTCTGTTTTCTTGTTTGAACTCTTGCCTTCTATGAGAAACATTCACGCTACATTGTTATAATGACCATAAGAATATATATACATGTAACTAAGATATTTCTTACATAATAACAATTACTGAACCAGGGCTTATACCGTCGCTGCCTCCTTTACCTGGACTCGGGTTAGGACCAGGGCCGGGTCCGGGTCCGGGTCCTGAACCTTGGGGGCAAGCATATTTTGAAACTACTGTAAAACCCTGAAACAAATAAATTATATAATAATCAGAAACGTAGTTAATTGTCATGTGCAATTGTACGGAATAACAGGAAATGGTAAACTTGGTATTTCTCCATTGCGGCATTGTATCAGTTCATTTATAAAGGCAATTTGTTTACATTGACCATTTGAAGTTTTCGTGGTATAATTCAGAGGAACAAAGAACAAATACTAGTACATTTACGACAGACAATTTCAAATTAAATGGTCAAGATTTTTATAACAGTGAATGAAGAAAAAGCGATATGCAAGAATTTTTAAGATTTATTTATACTTGATTAAACTAATAAATCAATCCATCTAAACTCAGATGGGCATTCTGTCACTTAAAACAGTTTTTCTTTATATTACATTTTTATGTAACAATATATTTGTCATTAATCCAAATCTAGTTAAGTAATTGTAGCTAGAAGTGCCACTGTCAGGGCGTGAATACCCCCCCCCCCGCATACCTCTTTGTCAGAATAGTGGTCATTTCGAGCTCAAGGACAACCTCCCAGCCAAATCTGAGGGTAGTAAATCAGTGCATTGCTAAGATATGTTCTCTACATGTTTTAGTGCCAAAAATCAAAGTGACCTTGACCTTAACCTAGGGACCTCATAATCAATAGGGGTCATCTACTAATCATGACCATCTCAAAACCAAATATGTAGTCTATGCTGGAAAGGATTATTGGCGTCCGCGCCGAAGCGCGGCGCCTTTTATGTAATGAAATCAGATTTTGTGAAAGGGCGACAGCAACTTCTCGAGCCTTTTATAGTTGTTCATAATAAAAGCCGAACATTCCGATCGGTATGAGGGTGCTTGATTATTAATTAGTCGCGATATGTACAATGAATAGCGAACTGGAGAATTTCGCAATGCAAACATTTTCAAATTAAATAACATTTTCCGTCAATAAATCGCGCTCTTCAAGGTATTTTTATTTATCATTTTGTAGTACACAGTGGATTATTATGGTATGTTATTCCGAAAGCTGTAAATAGAATGATAAGTTGATGACCTAAATATTCCGAAAATCTATTTATAGAGGGATGTACTCCTGTCGGTAATTCCCGGTCTCTCCTGGTCTATTTTGACGACCGGCGAATAGTACCACACGTTTATTGTCCGGTCTCTCCCGGTTTTGGAGTAGATGTTTGATATCGTTAGAGAACAGAACAAATATTTTACAGTTAAATAAGCTTTTTTTTAAAATGAATGTTTGTCACTTAGTTTGGTTACAATAATTAATAAATTCAGATCAACTCTCAAAATTATTGCTTATTATTATAAATAAACATACAATTAAAAAAAACCAACAACACAAATCGCATGTTTTATTTTACCTATATGAGATAAAAACAATAAATATGAACAATAATTGAGAAAAAATGTACATTTTTATGGCATTAATATGACACTATCAACTTTGAAACATTTTATTTAATTTGTTATTCGTGTTTAGTAAAGATGCCGAGGAATTATTCAAAGTTACAACTCAGATTTTATGAATTATTCAATGGATTGATAATTTAAGAAATGATAAAGAAAAATACAAATGTACATGTATATGGTTTAAGAATAAACAATATTATATATTGAAAGATTAACCATAATTTACTGACTTTTTCCAGTTAAGTTTTGACTTATAATCGTCGGTCATTATGACAATTGAATTCTTAAAATAATAGTAAACGTAAAAACTCAGTATTAAAATTGCGCATAAAACACAAAAAAAGAAAAGAAAACAATATTCATAAAATCTGTATTTTTTTATTAAAAAAGATATTACAATTAGTGTGTAATAAACATTTATGCTCAACATGGTAATATAACAAGTGTCATATTGTTACTAAGTGTGAACAGATACCTTAAGAGGGGGTCTTCGCTAATAGCGATAACATAATAAGGGACAATTACACAAGTGTGGTGTTGATCATGCGTTACTCATATGGATTATAAATGATTGTATACATGTATATCCGTTGCTATTAATAATCACGATCATAAAGAAATAACAAGCAATATTCTAATTTCTAGCATGCCAATCAAATTTATAAATAATGAACAATGTCTTTCGTTCATTCATAAGTGATATACAATTCTGGTAAAAACCAATGAACCATTGAACAGTTTATCATCATATATCTACTAGTTCATCTGCACCTGCTGCATTTCTTGCTTGGACGCCCTTTGATGCTTTGCATCAATACTTTTCTTGTTAAGTTATTGGGAGGACAAGGAAAATCCTACGGACGGCAAGACGGCTGGACGGCAGTATACCCCCCCCCCCCCGTCGGTTAATGCTCATTTGAATCGTTATTGAAATAATTTAAAAAAAACAACTCTTAATTTGAATTTGGCGTTACATAGCTTTCATCCTTTCGACCTTCCTCTGTTGCTTTTATTATGCATACAAATATATTCAGACAAATCAAAAGCAGTAAGACTGCGAATAGACCGTTCTAACAAATACTGTTACACAAAGGTTAATTCAGGTTAATTATAAAGTCAGCAAAAGTAGAAATACTATACATACATAGACCGTGGTACTTGTTTCTCCCTGGGCAGTGTCAGTGGGAGGGTCAGTGTTGGGGTCACATTGAAAGGTCACCGTAGAACTCCTACAAGAGAGAATTTCATCATTCCAAACAAATTGATTCACAGACCGACACTAAATACTCACGTTTTGGTTGACATTAAACTTTACCTAATTCGGTACCTATAGTATTGGAAGCGAAAGAGCCGCAATTCGGTTCACAAATATTGATAGGTGATGAATTTTACAATGTAGAATGCAAATATTCCTGCTTTTTAAGAAATGACTGTTTAATGAAAAACATGTTTTATCATCAAATTATAAATATACATGTAGAATAAATACTTATACAATGTTGCTACATACAGGAATAAAATTGTACACACACATGTAGTTTGATATATGAAGTGTGAAGAAAGCCGCTTAATCATAAAATGTACTGAGAAAACGAAAGCCTCAGCTGAGAAAAATCTGAATTTAGTGAAAGCCGACTTGAGATTTTTAACAGATATAGTAAGATTATCATCCAATTTGGAGACAATCATAGATTGAGATTTATCTCTGTTTGAGAACGTTTTAAAAGCTGGGCCTAAGCTCCATCGATCCGATTTTCTAAAACTTTATATTTATCATTAATTCATTTGCAAGAATTGATGGAAGAATACATGCCTAGCACCGTCGTCGGCAACATACGTTCCAATGATGTTCAAACCGTCAAATGAAAGTGTAACTTTAGACGAATCTCCTATGTTGTAATATATGTTATTGTTTGAATCGTACTGGCATGCCTGAAAATGACACAATATTAAATTATGGGTTTAAGCTGACGTAAAGCTACATATAATAACCCATATAATCATCACATCCATCACTATTAAAGATCCTGTATGTTGTAATTGAGGTTGTATACAACACTTAAGTGAAATCGTATATATGTATATAATTATGCTTATAAAACAATTTTCAAACATCGAAGAATATATACTGCAAATATTTGTTCATATTATATGTAATCATTGCAATATATGCATTCATTTCTTATTGAAAAATTTGACTTAGACTTTGTAAAAAATAGAATTTCTAATACCTCTCTTTATTTACATGAAATGTTAAAGTCGGTAGTATCTTTATAAATAATGCTTTTTGAACTTACACCAATTGATAAATGTTAATTTGAGCATCATGTTTATTATACAAAACCATAAAAATGTGTTACAGGATCTTTAATCAACAATTGGTGATCATGCATTTAAAAATACGCGGCAATAGAATAGCTCAAGTGAAGTGTTTTCTAAAAAAAAATCTTGAAATATTACACTGAATATAATGAGAGATTTATGAATTTGACTTATTCCAATGAAACTTGATGCATCAAAAAAGAATGTATACAAACCGCTGCGTTAACACATGTGCCTTCTGTAAATGGATAGCATGGGTTGAAAGAATATGCATAGTTATCTGGAGCAAATTGGTCCTGCATTCTAAAAATAGCAAACAGAAAACAATTCCATGATCCGTATATACCGTATGTTGTTTATGGCAATGGATACACCGTATTAATACGGTAGACAAGAGATATTTCATAGTTCATTTACGAAAATATATGCCGTACTAAGTTCATAACAATGGGTATAACTATTTGTATTCATATGTTGCCTAGATAAATTTTGACAACTTTATTAATTTTTCAATAAGGCGTTGATTTTACAAGGTTTAAATCGCATTGCATTATTAGCATTTACTTGATAGATGTATATGTGGAAATTACAAAGGCGAAATATACCTAATTTTCATAAGTTGATCTTAAAACATCTTAAAGGGTTATTTAAGTGGATTTTACATGGTAAATATAAATAAAATCACATACAAAGGCGTGCCGTCCTGTCTACCTATAGGAGATAAATCCACTGTTCCACTGCCATCATCAAACGTACATTTACAGTTTCCATCCTGATTACAAGCTTTTCCGTCACTAAGTCCAATCAAAATAAATAAAACACTAAATATAACGAGGTCTGTAACTTTTGAGCCATGCCTATACTTGGCCGTTGTACGGATTAGGCCAAATGCATTCGCCATCACTTTCACTTTAGCCTCGCCTCTTTGTTTTTATAAGGAAAAGTATGAATCAAAATTGCCGTTCAAATTTAACATACATGTTCCACGTAACTGTAAAGTAACAACTTTTAAAAAATATAGTGTTAGACGATAATAAATAATAAATAAATACAATCTCGAACAAAGAACTTAATATTTACAACAAATTGAAATGAACAAGTAATTTCAGTACATATACAGTCAGTCACGAGATTATTTCTCAATTATCACAGTGTTATCGGTGTAATTTAAGTTGGGATGACGATATAACAATTATCAATCATATGTTGCACGATATCCGACATGTACAATGATAACAACTAGAGATAATGTTTGTTGTGATACAAAACTATTTATAAATCTACCCGATACAATGTGAGAATATATATGACATAAACATACAGATATCAAACTTTATCACGTACATCCTTTTCATTATCACGCAAATTTCATTCATATACATCTACATGTATTAATTCTCAAAATAATATTTTCCCGTAAAGTTGTATGTACAGAAAGAAAAATGCACTGATTTCTTTATTCATTCGGGTTAACTATTGCACCACTGTTTAATGGGCTCATCCTGTTGTAAGTAGGAATTGTCGAAAGGTATTCATTCTCATGGGATCCAGAACTTAAGAAACCTAAGATAAAGAATTTGGTCGGTTGAACAGATTTTGAAGGCCAGTATTGCACTACAGGGACACAAAAAGATAACTAACATTAAAGGTGTTTATATGTACACATGTACAGAAAAAATACTACACTCAACAAGAATATTTGCTTTATTTATTCTCTTCAAACAATCTTCCGCAAAAAATGTTTGAATTTATTGTACCTCGGTTATAATGTGAGTTATTACAACCAACTTGATTTACAGTCGAGGCTTACGTTCTCGACTTGCTTAAAGTGGTGTCATATATGGAAACATGATCGTGACCGAAATAAAGTTTGAATCTACGATCATAGGGTTACGAGGGACACATTGAGTTAATCTAGCGTAAAGCGTAATAGCTAGTAAAATGTAGTAAGAAATGATACCATCAAAATGAGAAATAAGAAAACGGTTTAACACTTTAATAGATAATAAACATCAACAGCAACAAGTACATGTAATACAAGAAATAGAGATACAGAAAAATAAATAGCAAATAAAACATTTTTAAAATATATCAAGCCAAAAAAATGCCTTGTAGATTCATCGTGCTAATGTACACACACACATTGAATTAACACTGTGTGACAATGACGATTCTATTGTTGCTACAAACCATACGTAACAACCATCTATTTTGGCGTCCATTTTGAAAACCCACAATTCCAGCCGTGGGTTTATACATGTACTATTCATATGCATTAGAAGTCAATTTATAATGATAACTGAGTAATGATTAAAGAAGGTGATAATTTATGTTACATTCGTATTTTCAACACCTTCAGCGTTCTCAGCCTCGTTTGGATCCGCTGCCTTCACTGGAGATGGAATACCGTCAGGATAAGCATAACCTGCCCTCTGCAAGTCTCGCATTTGTTCAATAAGTTCACATTGCTGTTTATACAATTCCTGCGTTACATCCGGGTCACTCTCGTTATTTTGCTGTAACACTATGTCTTTTAAAAGGTCAAGTTGTTCCTTCTGCAGACTGTCAACTTCATCCTGCCGATCTTGGTCATGAGATGCATGCCAGACTGGATTTTCCTGGTCAAAATTAACCTCTGTTGCTTGAAGCTTGAAAGATGCCAGCATCTGCTTTTGAGCTTTTTGTAAAGCTGAAATATCGTCTTGATTCCGTTCAATGGGGTCACTTAATGCTTCTGTATTAAAATATTAAAAAGAACATTTTATTTTCTTGAAGACCCCCGTACGTATTAAACAATTATACGACTGGTTAAAATGCTTTAAATAGGCAAAAATACACTTGGAATTAAAAGCAAATAGTGCGCTTCCAAATTCATGCTAGATAATTTTGAAAGCGTTCAAGCTTTTAAAATATCATTACGTAATAGATAGAGTGAAGCTTATGTAAGATTTTGACCACTTTCTACAAAACTAGCCCATACCAGGGATATATATGCTAAATATATATGTCAACTTTTCATATACATGTATTTTTCTTCAGCTTCATTTTCTTAAAATGTGTTTCCTAATGAAAAAAGCAGTTAGTTTTATAAACCTGCTATTGAAAGAGAGTTCGAAAAAATATTACCGCAACAGCAGCTGAAAATTCCAGCAGACGACCTCCTTTTGCGCCTGATCCCAGAACGAGGCGCGCCTTCGCTGGGCCCGATGCGTCTTGTGCGGCGTCTGTTTAATCTACCGCCCTTCCGCTTCCTGTTACCCATGCCCATTCCGTGATTGAGTTAGTGCAAATGGCCTAGAAAATAAATAAAGTAACTCAACAGATGACTCCTAAATCATCAGATGAAATCAATCAATTATGAAGGCTTAGGTTCCCTATACATTATTCTTTCAGATAAATAACTTTACTTCCGCCTCCTAATGATGTAAATCCGCCTCCAAATGACGTAAATGTAGCGATTACCTATCTTAACAAAATCACGAAACCCTCGAGGCTCAATCCTATCGATACCTTTCAACTGATTCCTATTATTAATTTGTTTGAGAATCTCGAGTATTTGTATCAATTTAACAGTATTCATAATTTATTAAAAAGTACTGTTATGTTAATATAAATTCGCAAGCAAGTATACTATTCAGACATTTACAATGAAAATTGAGACTATAGTTAACATTAGTCAATTTCCATTTCAATGTGTTTTCTTTTAAAAAATCGTGACTATGTATGTGTTTATTAGAAATTTTGTTCTCGAAAGAACAATTATGAATTATGATGTCTTAAAACATGGTAAAACTCTTAAGAAGCACCTTTGCGTCATTTAAAAAAAGCTTACCTTTGTGAAGGAAATTACTAAACCAAATTTTCAATTAGCAATGAATTTGATTAATTAGGGTTCACTTTTAAATAATTTTTGAAACATTATATTCACCTAAACATAAACACAACTCAAGTTCATCTGTCGATCATAGAAAAAACAACAACTGTGACTTGTGTCTTGAAAGTCCCAGCTAGCGTACAACAGAACCCACAATATATATAAACTAGATCTATATAACTGACACCGGGATTATTTATTCATTTGAAAGTTTAATGTATTGTTTTCATGATTTCCTTTCAATACGAATTGTACAATATAAAGTATTATCGATTTTGTGTTACATGTATTTATAGGATTGTAAAATTTGATATATATGATATTGTTTTATTTGGCCTTAATAAATGTAGGTCAAAAACTAGGAGACAAAGGGACATGTGATCTACCCTAAGACCCATGACGTATTTACCTTTACATGACTGAACGATATAGAATAGAAGGTATGTTAAAACAAACGCAATCGGAACGTGCTCGACTATTATCTATAATAATATCCGAAGACTGACGGAAAGGGCCGAAAAGTTGCGATTGAAATAAACGTCGCAGTGTTTAATACCGGGTCCTGGTTTGTTTTGAATGTTGCCATGCGCATACAGTGTCATTCACCGTTACATGTATTTTGTTCATTATTTACAATGATATACAATGAAGATAAACCAAATACTTAAAGCACTTAATTCTTACTTACAGTTTTTTTTTATCTTGCTCTTAAACTTATGTCATATATCATTGATCGCAGCGAAATTTTTAAAACATGAAAATACTATATTCGAGTGATACTGCAAGAAGATATAACAATTATCGACTATTAAGTTTTCTAGAAAACTTAAAATAAGAATATAAACTGTAAAACCGTTTCAAAAAGGAGGGACGGATGATTCTACACTCTGATAAAGCATAGATTTTGTGTTGAAATAAATTTGAAGCGTATCAGTAAAAAATAAAGTAAAATAGATAAATAGATAGATAAATACATGTTAAAAAAGTCACATGAAAAGATAATTAACACCAGTAATGGTAACGACGCTATGGAATGCATGTTTCTTATATACATGCACATCTTTCATTTTTGACAGACCTATAAATCTCCGAGTAGATCTCTGTATGTTATTGCTAACATTATCAAATAAGAGTGAAGAAAGATAGCTATTTTGTATGGCGAAAAAGTTTATGTATACATGTGGACTGTAATGCCGTTAGGTCACCATCGTACTGTCATCATTTGCACTTTCCGTTCTCAGAGAAAACGCACTGACCCAAAGGAAACACCGTAGGAAATATCATGGCCTGGGGCGGCATCGAGGGTCTTCCTCTACAGAAAATAATAGAGGCAATAATTTTTACGTTGCAGAATCTTTTTGAACCATATACAAGTTTCTTTATTACACAGCTAAAAAGTACATGTACATAAAGGTACATAATGAATTTGATAATTCATTTGTTTAAAATTATGTGATTTTATTGTTTTTCTGTGCTATGCTATGCTATGCTATGCTGTGCTGTGCTGTGCTGTGCTGTGCTGTCCTGTGCTGCGCTGTGCTGTGCTGTGTTATGCTATGCTATGCTATAAAATGCTATGTTTTGCTAGCATATGCTATGCTATGCTGTGCTGTGTTATGCAATAAAATGCTATGCTATGAAATGCTATGTTTTGCTAGCCTATGCTATGCTATGCTAATATCTATAGGAGGCTGTTCATATAAAGTTTTAAGTAAGCGTGGCGACCGAACCACGTGACGTTTTGGCTGTAATGTAAATAAAAACACAGCATTGATTTTGTGAATATTTTTTATAACACCAACGTAAATAAACCTAAACCCTACATAGAAAGCACTTTCCTCGACTGTTTTAACGGTTTGCGTGAAGTTTTCCTCATTTTCTACTGATTCAGGCCATGCAATGTTTAAATAGTGCTCATCAGCTGAATCTTGTTGTAAAAAATGTAATTGAAAGTCGGAGATAGAGCTTATTTGTACTTAGTCAGTTTCAGTTGAGGAAAGTAATTTCTTTGAAGGGGTTTATGCTTCTTTATGAAGCACTAAAAATACATGTACCAATCTACTTACCAAAATTGCATTTATTTTTGTAATTTTCCGCCGCAATGAACATTGCACGGTACTCCACCGTTTTAAAAAAAGTTTGAATACTGGGTCAGGGGACAGAAATATGACACAAATATACATGGTGACTTATTTCAAGTTACTCCCCTTATTAATAGTTAATATATTTGCAGCGAAATATTGCCTTGGGAAGCTATTTTAACTTACTTTACTTTATTGTTGAGGTAGCAAGTAACGTTTGCATGATTTCAAAATCTGTTTGATATGAAAAAGTCTACAAAAAACATGAAGTATAAGATTTATTAGTAGATCAGACCCAGATATTGTTTCAGCCACAGAGGCATAGTTAAATAAGGAACATTACAGAGGCATAGTTAAATAAGAAACATTACAGAGGCATAGTTAAATAAGGAACATTACAGAGGCATAGTTAAATAAGGAACATTACAGAGGCATAGTTAAATAAGGAACATTACAGAGGCATAGTTAAATAAGGAACATTACAGAGGCATAGTTAAATAAGAAACATTACAGAGGCATAGTTAAATAAGGAACATTACAGAGGCATAGTTAAATAAGAAATATTACAGAGGCATAGTTAAATAAGAAACATTACAGAGGCATAGTTAAATAAGAAACATTACAGAGGCATAGTTAAATAAGGAACATTACAGAGGCATAGTTAAATAAAGAACATTACAGAGGCATTAGTTAAATAAGAAACATTACAGAGGCATAGTTAAATAAGAAACATTACAGAGGCATAGTTAAATAAGAAACATTACAGAGGCATAGTTAAATAAGGAACATTACAGAGGCATAGTTAAATAAGAAACATTACAGAGGCATAGTTAAATAAGAAACATTACAGAGGCATAGTTAAATAAGGAACATTACAGAGGCATAGTTAAATAAGAAATATTACAGAGGCATAGTTAAATAAGAAACATTACAGAGGCATAGTTAAATAAGAAACATTACAGAGGCATAGTTAAATAAGGAACATTACAGAGGCATAGTTAAATAAAGAACATTACATTGCATAGTTAACCCTTTACCTCATATATACGCGAAACAACGCACTTTCGACCCCACCTCTTTTAGGCCTCAAATAGTGAAAAAATGTCCTATTTGGGCCTCAAACAGATGTTTTCGTTTGAGAAATGTTGTGTAAAAATGAGCACTTTTTCGGCGCCGCCCCCATCCAAAAGATACATCAGGGGGTTGGCAGAATGTGCCCCCTTCTGTTTGGGGGGTTTTAAGGGGGCGGTAGTCCCCCTCATCGCCAAGAAAATTTTGGACTTGTGAGTGGCTAAAAATGACCCCAGGTCGATCATAAGGTAACGTGTAACCAACGCTGAAAAGCCTTTGACTCTACTCAATCCCTTGAGAAGTTGCAGCACTTTGAAATAAATTTTGATGGAAAAAAATCAGGGCAAAATAGTGATTTTTGTCAATTTTGAGATGTCCCCCCATTGCCATGGTAACAGGAAATTTAAGACTGAGCATATCGTAACAAAGGCAATGGTCCAGTCAACATTTGTGCCAAGATTAGTATTGAAGCATTTTTCATAGTTTCATAGAAGTTTGAACTTGTAACAGGAGGCTTTTCAATGAAAACGGCCATTTTTCACAATATGCTCATGTGGGAAAGGGTTAAATAAGGAACATTACAGAGGCATAGTTAAATAAAGAACATTACAGAGAAATAGTTAAATAAAGGACATTACAACAATGAAATATCCGCTACACATTTTCGACTCCGTTTTTCGCCGTGTAAGAGCGGTGGCGAGTTAATCCTTGTTAACTAAACTAAAATAATTTGGATAAAGGTAGTAAGTTTCTATTTCTGGCATCTTATTACAATTTAAATACATTTATATTTTACGTTAAGATTAATAAAAACTGTATCATAGTTGTATTGTAAATTGTAAAAGTTGATTATCTGTGTTTCAAACAATTAATTAATTTGTTAAATTACTTTGTTAAAGATAAATTCTATTGTAATTTGTTAATTTCAAAGTATGTAATAACTGTTTTACATGTTTTTTTTGTATTTCTGTTTTTATTGAAAGTATTAATGTTTAACTTTCAGATAACCGCTATATAAGCTATACGCTGTATGCTATAATTATGCTATATGCTGTATATTATAATTCTTAAATAAAAGTGGAAACATAACGCGTGTATTGCGCTCTTTTTGTTTGCCCAAGCACTTAGTGAAGCTGCCCACAACGAGTGTCCATGTAAGTTGATAGACAGCCAAAGATCACTCATATATACTCGTATAAACGTGTTCCCTCTCATTGAACAGATGATGCGAACACTCGTATATACGTGTTCCCTTTCATTGAACAGTTGAAGCTAACACTCGTGTAAACGTGTTTTCTCTTATTGAACAGTTGAAGCGAACACTCGTATATATGTGTTCCCTTTCATTGAACAGTTGAAGCGAACACTCGTTTATACGTGTTCCCTTTCATTGAACAGTTGAAGCGAACACTCGTATATACATGTTCCCTTTGATTGAACAGTTGAAGCGAACACTCGCATAAACGTGTTTTCTCTTATTGAACAGTTGAAGCGAACACTCGTATATACGTGTTCCCTTTCATTGAACAGTTGAAGCGAACACTCGTATTATACGTGTTCCCTCTCATGAAACAGTTGAAGCGAACACTCGTATATACGTGTTCCCTTTCATTGAACAGTTGAAGCGAACACTCGTATAAATGTGTTCCTCTCATTGAACAGTTGAAGAGAACACTCGTATAAACGTGTTCCCTCTCTTTGAACAGTTATGGCAAACACTCGTATATCGTATATACGTGTTCCCTGTCATTGAACAGTTGAAGCGAACACTCGTATAAACGTGTTCTCTCTCATTGAACAGTTGAAGCGAACACTCGTATAAACGTGTTCCCTCTCATTGAACAGTTGAAGCGAACACTCGTATAAACGTGTTCTCTCTCACTGAACAGTTGAAGCGAACACACGTATAAACGTGTTCTCTCTCATTGAAAAGTTGAAACAAACACTCATATAAACGTATTACCTTTCAGTCACGCTACAATGTTCTTTTCTTTCAATATGACTATTTCAACTAGATTTTAGTGCAGATGTTTCTTTATATTTGTTGTGTCTGTTCTTTTTCCATAGTCAATTTTACACTGTTAAAATGTTTATGCAATGTTTATACTATTAAAGGATACTATTTTGTTCATGACATTATGTAGGCCTAATTTAATTTTCAAATTTCAATTTGATATTTAGTTTAGATGGGTTATTTACAATAATCCATAAAAGTTCTTCTATGCATCCTTATGTCTTTAGATGCTATTGATGTTATCATTAATGATTTTTTGTTTAATTTTGCTGATTGAAAGGAAAAATAAATGTGAAATCACAGGTTGCTTCACTTTTGCTTGAAACTATAACACTAATAAAAAACAAAAAAACAAAAAAAAAACAAAAAAAAACACCCCCCCCCCCCAAAAAAAAAAAAAAAAAAAAAAAAAAAAGATAATAGACATTTGCGACATAATGTCGGGAACGATTATCGAGGAACAGTTACGTTAATATTGAGGGGTCATCTCAACACATAATATGAACATTGAAATAAAGCCAGGATATCTTACTGTATTTCTTTCCTAACCTCTTAATTTTCATTTTAGTAATTGCAAGACGAACTGAATCCAAGTTCCCTAAATAAATCCGGAACTTTTCTCATAAGCTCAGCCAGTGGTCGTTGGCGTTGACGGTTGTTTAACGTACATCAAGATGATGTCAAAACGTTTGACAGATTGTACACGGATATCTTGACGTCTTGACTACGGCCTCGGTTGTGCAGTTCACGTCGGACTGATCCGGGTTCGAGTTATCTCGGGACTAGGCGGAAGCGAAGCTGCTGGTCAGCTGTCCGTGTTGGCCCTCATTTATACATCTGTTAAGATTTATCAGAGCTTGACCTAGCAATAACTGCTGCATATGAGCCGCTTAAGCTTGCCGTTGGTTAAGATGCCGGTCTTTCCATAGGGACTGTACCTAACTGTATTTAATTCGGGACTAAATTCTTAACTCAAAAGACGTCTTTCAAAACGTTGTTGGCCTAAAGCGCTGGCAATATTTTGAAAATATTGAAATGTGAAATTGAAATGGAGTTAGTTAATGAATCGGAGTTATTCATCAAAGCAACAGGTGTCAAGTGCCGTGTAGCAGCCGTAAAAAGGTACCCCGTACTTCACTTCAGTGTTATAAATTATATATGGAATATTAAAAATACATCAGGATAATGCGACAGTAAAAAAAACGATGATGAATTTTATTGCAATATACCCAGGGTTTGAAAGCTTTTTTTTACATGATGTCAAAATATATTAAGAATGGTGCAGATCTAGAGTAAAGTTCTGATTTATGTTGTAAGTACTTATGTCCCTAATCATGCTTACTAAATATATGGTTCATTTATTTCGGTAGGATTTTTGCTTGCTTATAATCCCACCACAATTCTCACTGAAGTGGCAAAAATGTATTTCAAATGCACACATAGCTACAAGTAATTCGAGTTACGTTAAGGTATAAGTGTATCGTCAGTGAAAGACGTGATCCGGGCTTTAATTCCATGTTTTTATTTGAAATACTCATTAAACAAATGCGAGTAAATATGGCGGTCAGGACTATTGATGGGACATCTCACCTAAAGTAGAGCCACATGAATAATATTATTCAGGACAAAGACAATATCACGTAATACAAACACAAATTATCGCTTGCAATGCTTGTGTTATCCGTTACTTAGAAACCGTGTTTATTATAAACTGTTAGATTATTTTGAGATTATCCCTTTGTATAACTTGTCCTCGATCCTCAATCCCCGTTCCTCATTATAAGCCGCAAATGTCTAATATCAACAGAAAGAGGAAAGAGAAAATTCTTATTTTTATTCTATTAAACAACGATTTCTAATTTGCTTGAAAAAGTGAAATGCATTGCCATTTCTTTTACATGTTCAAATCAAGTCTTCGTAAATTAAAAATGAACCTTGCTGAGTTTTTATATTGAACTTGCTTCTGAAAATGCCTATTGTGAGGAGAAGAATTTAGCCCAATGAACAGACTGCTCTTAAACTTCGATAGATTAAAGTAAATCATAACTGAAACAAATTTATGAAAAAAACTTTGGGGGGTTCACCAACCTACATTTTGAGATATCTGCGCATGAAAGTGAGTTTTTACTCCTTTAGGTTATTTTTCAAGAATAAATAACTCTGGAAATGTCTATAAATGTAACATGTCCCATTGTCATCCCGAGAATAGAAGTTAACAAGTTTATATATATATTTGCAGCTGACGACCCACATTAAACAATCCACGGCCTGTTTAATTAACCAAATTATAATATAATTGAGAAAAAAAATATTATCCACGCATTTTTGAATTTGTATTCTTTTGTCACGGGGCTATTTCCCCCATTTTTGTAAGATTTTCCCGCCAAAATTTTGACAAATATAATTTATTTTACCCCGGGAATGCTACGGAATGATAAAGACAGCTGGATTGATGTACAAGTATGGGAAATAGAATAAATTATGGGCAGAGATATTCCCAATAAAATACACAATATGTTGCTATTGTAAACAATTATATGTATAGAATACATGATAGTCTTATTATGATATAAATGCTTAATCGGATTATAAAGTCAGCATATGTGTTGCTTAAGGCCGGGCATGGAAAATATATGTTTTATACCCAACACTAAGACTGAAAAGGTATATTTTAACTACGTTAAAATGTTCGGTAAGTAGCAAGTTTTGTAAACATAACTATGGAAGAGGACACTCATAAGCTTTATAGTTTTCTGCCCAATCCCATTTTTTTTGCGTTTATATGATAAATGAAATAAGGAGTTATTGTTGGAACTTAAGGAGTTATCGTCGGAGTTTTTCTTCTCTTTTATGTTAAATATGTGATCAACTTCACAAATAATCATAAGTACTCCGAATTCCCCAATTGTAAAGAATTAGTAAACATATGGAATCTGATGCATTAAAAGAGGAAATTCACTGAATAATTGAATTGGTTTTAGATATATTTTGTGATGGACAGGTCAATAATTATTCAGTTTTTTAATTTCAATCTTGTTAAATAATAGTCGTCATTAATGAAACTTTTCTTGTTACTAACAATTCTCTGTTAATTTTATCACTTTACTGAACTATTCAATGACCATTGTTGCGAGTTTGATCGTTGAAATTGCTCCATTTTACATGACCAGAAGTTGTGTCGACATATCGTGTAAATGTGGTTTATATATATATTTATGTATATGAAAAAATCTGTTGCTGTTTCTCACTATTTTTCACATATTCACTCATTTGCGAGTTTCTGCAAAGCTACCATAGATAAACATTCATATATATTTATTATATAACTTTGTAACGTTGAAGTTTGTAACGTCGATTATTCATTGTAACATTGAGGCATCTATATTATTGGTTATAAAAATTAATGACAGGTTATATGGCGGTTATATACGGTTGTTTTCCGAGTCGCTATTAATCAAAATTAATAAAAGTTCTTCAATTAAGAAAACGATGGTACTGAATTTGCCATACACGCATTTTATAGCTTAAAAAAGACGAACATCAAACATTGCTTTTGTATGACCTTATCAATAAAGTCGAGAAAAAGATCATTCCCATAAAATGAGATTTAAGTATGAAAATAGACCGTATCTTTCGCTGATGATACAGTGTAAAGACCTAGAAACGGCATGCCATTTCGTTTGTCTAGGCAACTGTTTTACATTCTTGCTGCAGGTTGTATGTGCACATGGATTTGTATCGCATACATTGTTGTAAAGAATGGGGCAAAGAGTAGACGATCAGATGGAGACTTGTATACACAAGATGGCTTTTATATATCCGATGAGTATGATGATACAGATGAACCCATTCAAGATGTTGGGAACTGGTCGAAAAATTGGAACAGAAATGCTTTTAATAGAGAAGATACAACACCTGAAATACTAGAAGAAGGTGATACTGAAAAAGACGAAGGACAAAATGAAGAGGGTGGAGAGAATAACGACAGTGTAGTGAATGAAGAAGAAAGCGAAAATAAAGGAGAAAAAGATGTCGAAGAAGGAAGTGACGAAGAACAAGGTTTCCCTGCACATGTTATAGAAGGGAAAGGAAACGAAAATGAAGAAGACAACGATAATGCTGAAGATGGCGAAGAAGAGGAAGGCGACGAAGAAGATTTAAAAATGGGACAAGCTCATTTTAATGACAAAGAGAACGTAAATGACATTGAAAATAAGGATACCGGAGGAAATATGAATATACACGCTCAAATGGAAAACAATGATAAAGACCAAAATAAACATAATGTAAACTTTCAAACGGATAATATCGGAGAAAGAGGTTTTGACAAACATGACGGTTTGATTAAATTTCAAGTTAGAGATGAAGATTCAGAAAAAGCTGTACAAAACAATGCTGAATTATATGATAATGAAGAGAATAATAACGAAGAATTTGAAACGGATGGTAAAGGTGAGAACGATGTAGAAGATACGGAGGAAGAAGAAGATAAAATAGACAGAGCAGCTAAGTATAGAGATTTTGATGATAAAAATGCGCATGGACATGTCCTTGACGATGGGGAAGATGACAATGATGAAGATGAAGATGCGGTAGGTGATGACAATGAGCACGATGATAATTTTGTTAAAAATGGAAAAGACGAAATTAAGCCTAATGCTGAAGTACGCGTTCCCGATAAGATTCTCAATGATACGCGTTTGGAAGAGGTAACGCTACATTATAATGCCAAAGGTGATGTTTTACAAGAAATTAAGAATTTACCAAAGGTAGACTCTCAAAACAAGGCCGAGTTGAAACAAAAAGAAAATGTCTTTAATCACGGTTATCAGCCATTTGCAAGATTAAAAGAAATTGAACATAATGATAAAAATCTACAAAACTATACACCAGTGGGTGCATTGGGGCTTAAAGACAAAGAAACAGTAAAGAATGAAAATCAACATGTTGAAACAGAAAAAGATAAACAAAAACAAGATAATGACATCCTTAATCAGTATCTTATAAAAGGTTATGATAAAATTGAAGAAGGAAAAAATAAAACTATTGATAACATGAAAGATTCAGATCTGGATATTCCTGTACAAGATGCAAATAAGGATAACATTACAAATATAAAAAATGCGAAGATAAAAGTAAACTTTACTAACAAAGGTGAGCCTGTTAAAATTTCAATCAATTGATTATTGTAACAACCATGAAAATAAGTACTAAGTATTTCAAGCCCATAATAGGCTCTTGGAACAATTTTTCACATCCTTTGAATTCACTTTGTTGTTATTTTTAAACATAAATGAACTAGTTTTATACCATTTGGCGAAGATATATTTATCTGTTTCATAGACAATCTTTATAGATAATGATAACATCTGGCATAAACTAATTCAGAGAAAGCGTCATTTTAAAAATTGCATGCAAAATAAAGACAAAATTAAACCAATCTTGTATTTTACCTGGAATATTGTAATAAAGGCGAGAATGGCACGGGGGTTACCGTTGACTATGAGAAAATGCCAGCTGAGGAGAAACAGAAGATGGATAAGTTATACACAGTACACGGCTTTAATGCCTATATAAGTGATATGATTTCCGTCAATAGAACATTGCCAGATATACGTAGTGAAAGGTTGGTCAAATTTTCGTTTCATTTTAGCTATCAAAGGTTTTTACTACAATAGTATGTTTCCTTTTTGTGAAAAGTTAGGACTCCTAAGATGATTTCAGGCATTTGCCTAAAGATGTGTTTGGGAATTAAAATCGTTCTAGATATTTTCTTAAAAAAAAAACAAAACAAAACAAACAAACAAATAAACAAACAAAAGTAACCATTTACATCTTGAAGTCGCACATCTTTGTAGGTTATCAAATCTGCTTACAGATGTCTGGTAGAATTTCGGAAAAAATAAACATGTGCGTGTATGTTTTTCAGCTGTAAGCAGATAACCTATGACGTAAATCCGGCAACCACAGATCTACCACAAACCAGCGTAATTATCGTCTTTCATAACGAGGCACGTTCTGTATTACTACGCTCTATATTTTCTGTGATCAATAGGACCCCTGACTACTTACTGAAAGAAATAATTATCGTTGACGACTTCTCAACTTTAGGTAAACTGAGTTTTATTAGCCAAGTACATATTTTTCAGTCCTTTTAGATAATGTTGAATGACCCAATGTAATATATTATTTACCAGTTAAGTTTATCCATAGTAAAAGTGACTTATCATTATTTAAAAAGACAGGCAACATTTGTGCTTGAAAAGAAAAAAAACACCAAGTATGAACGTGTAAGTTTTATCAATACAATGTTCAAGTGATAAATCAAAATGATGAAATGGGACGAACATTTCGACGGACAGTAAAAGTGAAACGAGTCTAATCCATGAAAAAAAAAATGAAGATTGTATACAAAATCCTGAACATGTAAAATTTGATTACTGTAAAAAAGATAATTCAAATTTGTACGATTTTTTGCGGCTTGTTTCGACCTTGGCTACCGGTATTCGTCAACATATTCCCGGACTTTACCGGACATATCATCAGTATACCGTGCCATTCCAAAGCAATATTGATATTTTTACATTAATATAACAGTAAAAATACCCACTTGTTATGGTAAATGCAAGTTTAGCACGAATGAGTCTATTTATATATAATAATTCAAGGTGCTTCTTGTTATTTTCAGCATAACGATATAATGTAATTTTCGATCCATAGGTGTATTAATTCTTTAATGCTTTCGTCATTTGTACATCATTAATGTGTACTTCAGTAAAAGTACTTCGCTTAATCTTTATCCGCAGCATTTCTTTATGAAGTTGCAGACTTACTACATTAGTAGCATAGGAAAACCATCACTCTGTGAGCTAATATCTTTATTTCTATTTTACAGCTGAGGATGGTAAGTCACTGGAAGCAACCATATCACAAATAAGTAAAGCTCATCTGATACGTACATCGCAACATGAAGGATTAATCAGAGCTCGTCTTATTGGCGCAAAGCTAGCAACTGCCCCAGTTCTTACGTTTTTAGATGCTCATGTTGAATGTTTTAAAGGTATTTTGATCCCTAGAATAATCGCGCCAAAATATACACATAGATTAAAACTTGACTTAACTGAAGAAAATCTAAGTTATTTGTTGTTTTGTACTAAGATATCACTTATCACTCGTTGTTTTCTCAATTTCTAAAAGATCTTTATAAATTAATCGCATTCGAACTCAGAAAAATAAGAACTATAGAAACATATAATGATACAACTTTTATTGATGGAAGTACAAATATCAGTAGATTGTGATGCAAGCGAAATTTTGTTTTTTGGGGCTTATGTTATGGTGTAAGTTTCTCTTCATCTAGTTTTATAATGCCTTTGAAATGGTTGGTAACATCTGCTTTGAGAGGTGGTTCTTATAGAAAAATACATCTGAATATACTACAAGGGTGAAGGTTGACACGTATCTCCGAAACCCTTGAAGCTGGTGATACCTACCTCCGGAATCAGTGATATGTACCTCCGGAACTGGTGATACGTTCTTATGAAACTGGTGACACAGATATCTTATTTTTAAGGATGGTTGGAACCATTGCTGGAAAGATTGGTTGAGAAAGCAGATACTGTCGTTTGTCCACAATTACAGACAATATCCGGAAGTTCATTTAAGGTAAAATCATTTTGATAAATGTATTTGATTGTTCATGAAAAAGAAACTTAACATTGTAGGAATGGTACATAATATTTCTAAATTTCATTTTATCAAAACTAGGTTTTAATAATGATTGTCATAAATGATTTATGTCGGGCTCTATTTTATACACATTTATTTGATTTCAGATTCAGTAACTTCTTAACAGCCACATACATTTAACACATCAGAGTAGCATTAACATGTTTAAGATCGCATGAATTAGCTGTCGAGACTGGTAAATGGGGTCGTCAAAATGTAATTCCATATGAAGATAGAATATGCCCTAGGTGTCACAAGCTAGACGATCAATTTCACTTTGTTTTTGAGTGTCTCATTGTTGTTTTTTTAATAACGGAAACAATATATCAGAAATCTTTTTGGAGGCACTCGAGCTTTTATAATTTTTTGCAATTATTTACTAGCGAAAACAAAAGTGATACCCGAAATTTTGCACCTTTTGTATAAAAACTAGATATTTTGTCAGCATCAAAAACTTTTTCATCTTTAAGTAAATAATGTTTGGATATCCATATTGTCTCTCTTAAAATGAAAAATTTACAATTATAAGAATGTTTAATCATAATTATTATATATGTATATTTATTAAAAGAAATTTTATACTTTTGCATACATGAATATTCAATGTATGATGAATATTTTACTGATGTAATGCTTGTGGATCATTTGTGATTAATTGTATTATCGTTTTATTTGTGGTTGCCTCAAAAATACTTATTGAAAATATAGAACCATGATAAGGCATGGGCTGTTTTATGTCACCATGGGCCTATGTCTATATGTACAGTTGATCAAATATCATGTCGTTTGTTTGTAACATGAAAAGGATGCTGCTATTATCTCTCTTTGATTTCACCGCTGTCGGTTTTCTTTGTCTATGTATATATTTAATTTACTTAATTATTGAGCTAACACCAATTCCAAATTTTGTATTTTACATGTTTCTTTATTTTTGACTGCTACGTTGTTGTTGTTTTCTTTTTTTATATATATATAAAAAGTCATACATGTATAATCATTTAGTGAGTAAAGTTGAGAATGTGTCTATATTTCAGATACATGTTCAAGACCAACTATACGTTGGCACCTTTCAGCTGTCAAATTTAGTGTTTGACTGGCTTCCAGTGCAACATATGGATAAACACCTGCAATCATCTGATACCGACACTGTGAGGTAAAAACGTCTGATTAAACAAATAGCAAACTTGATAATTTTGTAAATTTGAGGAAATACAATGTCTTGAACTAAATACATTTTAATACAATTAATGTCTAATGTTTTTATGTTTGATTTTGCTTTTCATATAAAATGTTTGTGTATGTAATGAAGTCTTCAGATAACCTGAGTAAATAGGTTTTTTGACATAATTGTAATTTTAATCATTCATTTTATACGTTTTGTACACCCAATAAAGTTGATCATTTTAAGAGTTTTCCTGTACATGTAAATCATTTTATCATAGCAACAGTATTGGCTGTTTAACTTTTCCCATTGTCTGCTGTCTTTTGGCTGTTTATGGCTTCATGAAACACCTTGTAGTAACTACATTATTTTCTTACAGGACACCAGTATTTGCAGGCGGACATTTTTCTATCTACAAGAGCTACTTTTACAAAATAGGATCATATGACGCCGGGATGAACTTATGGGGTGCTGAAAATCTTGAACTCTCCTTTAGGGTATCACAGTCTGTTACATTATTTCACGTAGGAAATAAAAGACCACTGACCTTTTAAGGTCGTGCAATTATCAGAACGCTAACATTTTACACCGATATGAAATAATAAAAAATAATGAAAGTGAATATTTTTATATATATTTTATCTCGTATATTTGCTATCTATCAAAAGTTAGTTGGTGTATTCTCTATATAAGGCAAAACTATGAATTAAATGCAATTTTTATATTTTCCTTAGACTGATGATAAATGGTTTGAATTAGATGAGGATTTGGCTTGAAACTAAATTACTATGACCATTATCTAGCATACAGTGACTTGTGTGATACCTGCTTATATAAAGTGTCGATTATTTTCCGTGTAATATTATCAACTATATATTGTTTCATAATATTATACTCAAGGTATGGATGTGTGGAGGTACAGTAGAGGTACATCCGTGTTCACATGTTGCGCATGTGTACAGACAGATCAACCCTCTTGAGGTGACCATGAAAAAGGCAATAGATAACGCTGCAATTAGAAATAACCTCAGGACTGCTGTTGTCTGGATGGATGGTTTTATGAAATTTTATAAAGAAAAGGGCATGGAAAATGTAATTATTCTCAACGAATGTATTATACCTGTACGAGGGGTGTTTCAGAATTAATGCAACTTCACTGAAGTCTCAAACGAAACATGTAGTTTTTATTCCAAACCACTTTTTTCAAATCAAAATCAACATTACCACTACTTCCTGTAGATTTGGCCACCGATCCATAGTCATAGGATTAATGAATTTAGCTCATACATAAAAAACTTTCTGAGTGATCACTTTTTTCACTAAAGTTGTTTAAATGCTTCCGCTAAAAGTAACGTGTAGGTCCGCTAGACCTCGTGTGTCTTTTGTATTCATGTATAAGCAATACTGTATATATGTGTATATATGTATCCAAAATGTAAATTACATACAGTACGGAGGGCAATAGCGTGAGAAAAGAATGAAGCCTTTTCTATGTACACATATATGCATATGTCTGTACAGGCCATATTTATTATTTATTTATTTGTTATATTTAGGTAGATATGGGGAACATAACAGACAGACTAGAGCTAAGAAAACAGTTGGAATGTAAGTCGTTCCAATGGTATATAGATAATGTACATCCGGGTCTTTACGTGCCAGGACAGGCCTTACGTTTCGGAGAGGTGAGTAAAGGAAATATTACAAAGAACTGACATTGTACATGTATTGATAGTGACTGATCAGTTAGCCCGTAAACATTTAACGGACCGAAGGCAAAAACTAAGGTCCGACGAATGTTTGGGACTGACTTGGAGGTCATTATAATGCTATGAGGTCCGAAGTACTGTGCGCTATTTCTTATATTGTACCACACTATCCTGACAGGTAAAAGTTAGAAATCATACCATATTGTTTAAATAAAAAAAAATTCGTGTAATTTTCATACTAATTTGTAACATATATGTTCATTTCTGTCGTTACATATGGTGAATGTTTGAATGAGTAAACCTTACCAAATAAATATGTTATGAGGTATATTTCGATAGCATAAACGCTAGTTTGAATGTGTTTACCTTGCCATGGACTATCAAAAATGAAATGGGAAAATTTGCACTATTTTATACAAGTCGATTGTTGAAGAATGTTTTGTTTGCTTAATTATTTTCAATTAAAGCTAAAGCAAAGAAAACGTTGTAAGATACATTTGAGGTAAATGCGAGAAGCGATGTTATTGATTGCCTCTTTACCCTTAATGGTGCCGCGTCAATGATAACTGATGCAATACCAGTTGCAAAAAGCTTGCTCGGGAATGACCCGGATAAGTTTCTTTGTTAATCAATAAGATTTTGAGAATGTTTCAGTACCTTAAATTTCTTAGATATTAAAATATTGTAACTAAGATATCTAGATTATGTTTTAAGATTAGGAACTCGGCTAATGACGTGTGTATAGACAGTGGTATAAATGTTTTATCGGCCCATGTTTCAGCTTCAAAGTGCAGAAATAGAACATCACAGGTACTTTGTTATTGTATTATAACCAGATATAGAAACACATAGGTATATCATATTTTACTTTGTTGTTGTATTACAACCAGATATGGAGGATCATAAGTTACGGCCAGGTGTAGCTGTTTAACTATTTGGTGACAAGAAATTAAAAGGTCGTTCTTCTACTTATCAGCATTTACCTAAGAGAGGGTGTCAAATGTGGAGGTCATCTTTCGCGATACATAAAACAAAATAAACAATGACCATGTTATACAATATTCTACACTGATATACAAGCAGAATGACATAAGATATGGTGCACCAGTTTTCTTGCTGTATAAATGTATATGCTTCAAGACTCCTGGCTAATTACTTAATCGAAATTTACATTACCCTGGCAAAATACTTTTGTATACATGCATTTACACACTTTAGTTGCTTTTAGGGTAATTTATGATTGAATGCATTTTTTCTATATTTGAAAAGACAATTTAATGTAGATGTGGATTATTTCTGTGTTAGTTCTGGCATCTATCAAAGTTGAATGCCTTACAAAGAGAGGTTGGCTGTGTAGAATATCCCAAGAATATCAGTGAAGATCCTAGACCAACTTTAGAACGATGTGATGGTGGAAGCCCAAATCAGTACTGGGTCTATACTAAAGTAATCTAGTCATATTAGTGTAAACAATTTCATAAAATGATTTTTTCCCTATAACGTCGTTATTTTTCATTGAAGATTTAGCTTTTTAATACGCTGATTAATAAATTACACATACTATTTTTCAACACCGTGTATTTGTTTGCGTAAATCCTAATCTGTAATATTTTCATATTACACATGTATATGACAATATTGATATATTTTCAATAATTGCTACAACTGAGGTATATAAATATTTTAATTCTTCATTTACTTCAACACGAACACAACTTATTGTTATCAAAACATTATGTTAATTCCGCTTTGATTTCATTATTTTGGGCTTCCATGGCTCAGTAATTAAGATCGCCGGCTTATAATCACTTGGCCCGCACCGCTGTTTGTTCGAATTTCGTCAGAGACTTTGGATTCTTTCCAGATAGCTTAACGTGTGTCGATGGTTCTACACAGGTACCCGCTCTTGCCTGAAATGAAGCACGAAACAGCAAATGAGATCTTCATGCAGCAAAATAGCTGGAAAGTAGCCGTATGTCCTTTGCAGTGTCAATGTTACTTTAAATTCCATCAGACGAAAATATTGCCACTAAATATGCACCAAATATGGTTTTTAAGAGCTTATTAAAGTATAATGACCCTTATGTTCCCGATAAGTGCGTAGAGGTATTGCAACAATTTGGTATATAAAAATGAAGATGTGATGTTGCAATAGCCGTTTGCTTATAATGAAAAAAAATGCTGAAAAGTAAACGTTTGTATATAATATCAGTGGTGATAGTTTTGAGAGTTGTACCAGCCTGCACACCCGCACCGTCTAACCGGGTTCTTTTCTGACAACATCTAAGTTGTACTAGTTTTATATCTAAATCCCCTTAACTTAAAATGAAGCGTTTCAATTATAAAACCAAACAAAACCATTCCCTTATTTGAACTAAGTCGCGAAAGAGGAACAAACACTTAAAAACATCTTTTTTCACTTTTTTTCAGAATGGATGGTTATATAATCCTCAAGCTCATCTCTGTCTAGGACTAACAGCAGAAGAGAAAACACTTCAGTTACTCAAATGCGAAAGTAACGATAGATTTTACTGGGAATGGCGAAACACCGGAAATGAAAATACTTAATACTTCAGAGCTATAAAGTCGGAAATATTCGGATTTTGGTGGTTGAAGTATTCGTAGAAATTGAATGCTACATGTATATTTAACGAACTTGATTCGGTGCTTGTATTCTTTGATGTATTTTACAAAAAAAGAAAATGATGTCACGGCAAATTTAGATTATGTTAAGGAAATATTCAAACAAGACTTCACATAAAAGATGTCAACAAAAGTTCCGGTGTGCATTTGACTTTATCGAAATCAATAACAAAAATTCACTCGTTGTAAATGTGTAAATTAGGAACATTCAGCGGACATAATCGCGTCTGACCTATAACTTTTTGTGAATTTTCCATGTTTGACTATTTATCTCAGAAACAAACACAATCATTTAAATATCTTGAAATGTAATTAAAAGATTTATATATTATGTGATGAGATAATATATATATTTCTTTATTAATGATAATACTTTACTGTGAGTTATTATCTTTGTGTATAACGAATTTTAATAATGAGTTCGCCTTCGCTCTCTATGAAGAGGGATGGTATCTTACAATAAATATATATAGCATCATAATGTACCAGAACAATGGGTAGTATGTCTTTAGTTCTTTCCAGGAAGAATAAAACCAGAAGTACAGATTTAGCTAATGACTGAAGAAAATCAGTGAAGGATGCATTATTATAAATGTTTGAATTGGCTCAAAATGTGTACGATTATAAAAGTCAGACGTATGTACATGATTTGTATACAAATGTATATAATAAACATCTTTGCTATTTGTTACACTCTTTCTTTTCTATATATATAGGTATCTGTTGTGAAAATAATTTTCTACATTTCTTAAAAAAGTTCATGTATTTGATCGACATTTATTTCTGATTTCTTTATAATATGTATAGATACTATTAAATATTAAAATAAACTTATGACGAATCATAGAAGAATATCATATAAAAACAACACACACGTAGCCACACACTGAGTTAAGAAAAACACAACAAAACAAACGAACAAAATACCCCCACACAAACAAGAAAAATAAAAGCAATAACAACGAGCAAATCACGTATTCAAGACCAAACGGGTTGTAAGTTGTACCACACGCGTCTCGTTTACAAGTCACACAGGATACATAATATGTCAGTCACGTCAACGTACTAAATAAAGCTGCATGGTCAACACATAAATATATGAAAATTGTTTAAATATGAAAGTATGTAAACACATGAAAATAATATTTTTCATATACATTGTATTCTTATGAAATCTATAATTTTGTAAGGTCCCCCCAGAAGTACTCGCGTGCAAAAGATATGCAAGTTCCAGTTTTTTTAATATAAAACACAGTTTGTTTTCTTCGTATAATATGATGACACTGTAAAACAAAAAGTGTTTGTGCTGGACAATGTTTGACTTGGGGAACAAAAAGAAGTCACATGAGGTGTAGCATTAAGAGAGCACATCAACATTTTCCTGCTTCAGAAAGTCGATTACATAATGGGTGTATTGTGTGATGACGTATTTGTCATTTAGACAGCAGTTTAGCACATGCTCATCTTTAGCTTAAAGTGACATTATGCCCATCCAAGTGTGTATAGTCAGTGAACGGGTGAAAGTCAAAATAGGTTTTCATTTTGCCATAATTCCTTTTAATTTAATAATTAAGTTCGCATAAACATTGAATAACTCACAGATCCACACGAAATTTCTGTAAATATCCATTAGAATTTACCTATAATGCTTAGTTTATAGAAAGAGTGGGGCAGTCTTTTTTAAATTTTAGACAGATTTATAATTTTACCCCAAAAAATGAAATAAGAAAACTGCCACTTTTTAAAGACCCTATCTAATTATGCTGTGTTTACATATAGTGTTTCAAGTTTAAAACATTACATTTATTCTCTGTATGCACTCAAAATATGTATATCTTACATTTTCAAAGAGACTGTATAACACTTAACAGTATTTACAAATACTAAATGTAAGCATTATGCATCTTTAAGGTAGGGCAACTTATATATCGGGACCATGAGTTGTGAAGAATGCGACATTAATTACATGGCCAGACTTTGCCACTGATATTTTGTTATAAATCTTTTGATTGGAGTGTGGAATTTTCAACAATGGCGAGATTTACAAAATAACGTGCCATTTGAAAACTTTTTGTTGTATCCAAAGAAATCGCCGTCGTTTTATTCCAGTTTTTGATGTTACAATTTTACACTGAAATGTTTTAAAGAAGCGAATTGTGAGAACATTTTACCAAATCTTTATTCCCTTAAGCCATAACTAATTTGTGTAACCACTTGATTGAATAATTATCGGATAGCGGTATTTATAATATATATTTATGTACTGATTTTCAATCGAACGCATCCGATATTTTAATTTTAACAGTTTGTTTTACTCGAGGATTTTTTAAACGTGTTTTCCTTGTTCGGGATGTTATGTATGCAACATATTACATGTATATAGTTTGTATCTGACCAGTTGGTATTTCCAATATTATCATTGTTCTATTTTTAGAACATAAACTACATGTATGTACTAGAACGTTCTTAAGTGTTGTAGAAAACTCATGCATTATATTTAGATAGAAACTTCTGGAATGATCTTTATTGTTGAAGTTGCTAGATTATGATTACTTGAGAACATAATAGACCTTTCTGGAAACTTCTTAGTTAATATATATAAGGAGACATTTTTCATTAATCTTATCTTTAAGTCATCAGTTACCTTTTTAGTCATCAGTGATCTTTTAAGTCATCAATATATTTGGAGTATTATTCAACTTGGAAATTAAGTGATTTATTGGAGCTTGGATTATTAATTATTCTTGTGGATTTTATTGTGGGAATTTATTCTAAAGTGTTCTTGGATTTAACTTGGATTTAACTGTGTTATTCAAAAAGGATCATTCCAGGATCAGACTAGACATTTATGATTTCATTTTTATTTGGACTTCAGGTATTTGTAAACATAATTTGTTATTTTATTTTTCTTTAATAATTTTTCTGTAATAAATTTGTTATTGTTACAAGTTTGTTGCTGGCTTTTCTTTCTCGTTACGCCTGGCTCGTAACAGAAATTGGGGGCTCGTCCGGGATTTGAATATTTATTTTGGCTACAATATTGGAAATTATTACCGTTTATTTTACATTTTATTATTACCGTATTTACTCATCTGAGTTGATATCATAGTTGTTCTATTAAGTGTACCTTTCATTTTGAATTTTTTTAAACACATCACTTTCTGAGTTTAAAACCAGCAGCAAGCAGTAATGTCTTTTAATTTAGAAAAGTTTGTAGCTGAACCTTCCCAGGAGGTATTAGATTTGGCTAAGAAAACTGATTTGCTTGATCTTGCAAAAAAGTATAATTTATCAGAAATTAAATCTTCAATGCGTAAACAAGAAATTAAAAATCTCCTGATTCATTATTTTGTGGATGAAGATATTTTTGGACAAGATGCACTTTCTCACATTGTTGAAAAACACTCTGAAATTTCGGAAATAAAAATAAAAGAGCTTGAATTACAATTTAAATTTGAACTAGAAAAAATGCAGTTTGAAAAAGAAAGGGAAGAAAGACAGATGGAAAAAGAACGGGAAGAAAAAGAAAGGGAAGAAAGGCAGTTAGAAAAAGAAAGGAAAGAAAGGCAGTTGGAAAAAGAAAGGGAAAGGGAATTTCAATTAAGATTGAGAGAGTTAGAAATCAAAGAGAGAGCAAATCAGTTTGAACATAGAATAAATTCAAAATTTGATGTCACTAAAAATATTAGGCTTGTTCCACCTTTCCAAGAAAAAGAAGTTGATAAGTATTTTCTTCATTTTGAAAAGGTTGCTGAAAATTTAAAATGGCCAATAGAGCACTGGACATTACTTTTACAGAGCGTCTTAATTTGTAAAGCTCGTGAAAAATATACACAACTTACTGTCGAACAAAGCTCTAATTATGATAATGTAAAAGAATTAATTCTGAAAGGTTATGAGTTAGTACCAGAAGCCTACAGGCAAAAATTCAGAAATTCTAAGAAAGAAACTGGTCAAACCCATGTCGAATTTGCAAGAGAAAAAGAACAACTTTTTGATCGGTGGTGTCTATCTAAGAAAATTAATAAAAATTATGAAAAGCTTAGACAGCTCATGTTAGTTGAAGAGTTTAAACGTTGTATTCACTCTGATGTTAAATCTTTCTTAGATGAAAAACAGGTTGAAACTTTAGAGGAAGCTGCCCGTCTAGCTGATGATTATTCTTTAACCCACAAAGTTTCATTTGTAAATAAAGGGAAGTCCACACCCACACATTTTAATTCCAAGTTCAGTTCTGGTAATCTATCTGGCTCATCTAGTCAGTCAAATACTCCCAAACCAAAGTCATCTGATGAACATAAAGGTCATAGTCCCTTATCTCGTCCTACATGCAATTATTGCAAGAAAACTGGACATCTTATTTCTGATTGCTTTACCTTAAAAAGGAGGCAACAACAACGTGATGAGGCCAAACCCACAGGTCTTACCACTTCAAGGTCTGAACCTCAGTCTTGTATTGATAACAATGCAATTTTGAAGGTCAAAGAACCCAAGTCTGATTCTATAATGGAGATTTATGAACCATTCCTTTCGGAAGGTTCCGTGTCACTTATCGGTGATACTTGCCCACCTACTCCTATTAAAATTTTAAGAGACACAGGAGCTTCTCAATCTCTTATTTTAGCAGATACACTGCCTTTTTCTGAGAAGACTTCTTCTGGATCTAGTGTCCTTATTCAGGGTGTAGAGTGTGGTTTTTTCTAATGTCCCTCTCCATAATATTTATTTGTCCTCAGATTTGGTTACTGGGCCGGTGGCTGTAGGTATGAGATCTTTCTTACCCTTTAAAGGTGTTCATTTATTGCTAGGTAATGACTTAGCTGGAGATAAGGTAGTGGTTAATCCACTTGTAACTGACACTCCTTGTGTGGAATCAGATACCTGACCCCATTGAGCAGGAAATTCCTGACCTTTACCCTTCATGT